GCCCTGGGAAGCCTTGCCCCTTCCCAGCAGAGTCTGCAGCTGAGTTTGCGTGTCCTGGGAGAGCAGATGAAGTGCCAGTGCACGTGGGTGTGTGTTTACTTGACAGTTTGGCCCATTGGAGTATCTTATCCTGACTGGTTCAATACACTCCGGCATTTTCTGCCTGGAAGAGTTGTCTCTTTTATGATAGCAGTCAGAAGATTACAGCTCTATCAGAAGCAGCAGGGAGGATAAAGCAGAGAGGATGGGTGGATAAAAGTGATTTCCATTAGGGTTTGGCTTTTGGGTTTTTTGTTGTTAGTTTTATTTTTTAATTTTGTTTTCTTTTTTAAGGACTACTGATGAAATGACCTACCATATTGCATCATGCTGTGGCAGTGTGGTCAATACAAAGTTTATTTTTACTCTGTTATTTAAAATCTGGATGTCAGCTGGGAATTATAATATGTTCTTTTTTGAACTTTACTAAGTAAGTAAGTAAGTACAGAAATGATGCTCCCAGCCCAGCAGGATACTCAAATGTTCTCTCTTTTTGCTCTGTCTTGAAAGGGACTATTGATAACGTGTATAGTTAGGAGAATATGCATTGTGTTCCTGCAAGGAATCATGGCTGTAAATTAAATGGATGCATACACACATGTATATATGAAAGTATAATTCAGTTAATTTCTATTGCTTCAGTTCTGGATATGAAACAATTCACAAAACTGGAAAAAATAATGTCTTTGTATTTTTATTTATCATAGATGAGTGACTTGTCAAAGACATGACTTTCTGCTTCTATTTCGATATTGCTGTTAAAGTATTATTTTTCCTGTGCGTTTCCAGTAATCCCTAAAGCCAGCTGTGACATTTCCTCAATTCCACATACCCAGTCTAAATACCTGTATTTGTCTCACTGTAATTATAACATGGGTTGGCGTCAGATTCTTTCTGTATGCTTCATCAATGACAGATACCTTTTTCCTCCCAGTGTAGTGTCTGTCTCAGATACCCATCCCAGGCAGCAGTAGAGACTCTGCTTCTTTCAGGTTCGGTGAACATCAGCATTGGATCATTGATTAGGAGCTGTTTCCAGTCTCCCTGCTGATGATCCTGTGGCAGCTCTGTTTAAGCTGGGAGCATTTTGTTGTAGAGCAAGGTTGTTATGTCAAAGGTGCTTGGTAAACTGATATTTTTAAGGCTGTTTCTTAGGGTGTTAATGATGACTAAATGACTGCTAGCTCTGTGCTGGATCTGAGGACCTTTCACCCTAGCCATTAATCAAAACCAGTGAGTGTTGCGTGCGGTATTATTACGCTCTGAGGACTGGTATATGTTGTAGCCACACTTTATAATTAATCTCCATCTGTATATCGTCAGTGCCTAACTTGCCTTGTGTGCACATTAGTACTAGGTAAAAAAATAGATGCAGTTCTGATTTAAATTCCCTGTAGTGACTTGACTAGCAGGGCCGTGCATTGTGACCCAATAGCACTTTCTCATATGCACTGTTGAGCTCACAGCCAGGCTCTACAGTCCTATGAAATACATTGGATGCAGAAGCAATACTTGTACACGAAAGCCTCTGAATTAAAGTCCCTTTAAAAAGGATGCAGCTGCAATATGAATGGGGACCTGAACAGTTTCCCTCATCATGAGTAGTGCCTTGTTCTTCATGGGGACGTGGCACTGCGGCTTTCTTTGTTCCCTGGCAAAACCAACCATGACTTCGAAATGTGGGACTGGCACTCAGAAAGCCCTACTTCTAAAGGGCAGTAAAGATGCAGAAGTCTTTTGAACACTGAGCTGTTCTCATTACGATGTCCAAATACGATGTTTGGAAAGCTTGTTCCATGCACTCACCCATGGAAATATTTACCAAAGCTTGCTATTGTTTTATAATGAATTTTATTATTCCTATCAGAGAGTTGAAAGAAAGTTTCCGCTGGGCAGGTTGCCTGGCTGAGTCTCTGCCGGTGCCAGGGTGAAGATTTTGGCTGGGAGATGCTTTGCTTGCCAAACCTGGATGGCCCAGCGTTCATCTTGTCAATCCTGATAGCTGGTAGTCATCTAAGAGAGACCTCAGCCAGAGTGAAGCTTTGGAATTGGCTTTGGGAGTGATAATACACACTGTTTAGTATTGACTCCTTTTGGCAGGAACGTTTTTGTTGCATTAGGAATTCTGTATAAATTTATAAGATTTTGTACATGAGTAACTTCTGTGTCTCCATCAGTTTTGTTATTGCACAGTTGTGTTGGCTCTGATGCTCAACTTTCCAAACCAGTACTGAACATTACTTAAAACCATAAAATCCATCACTCTTCAACTCTACATGAAATTGAGGACATCAGTCCTGTGTCTGCCTGTGTGTGTGTCAGTTTGTCCCCATGACCTGAACCGTGACTCAGGGTTTTGTGATATGAACAGAAGGAACTGTGTGGCTATGAGGGAGGAAGTGAAAAAATTCAGAATATTTAGTTTAGAGAGGACATGAGTAAGAAGGAAGACAGAAATAAATCAATGATAATGCAAGATTAAACCAAATCCAGAAGAATACAGCAGTGGAAAATAATAAAATATATCCCTAAGTTAAACCTTTCAAAGGAATTTTATGGGATCTCTGCAAGATTTAAGCAGAAACTGAGGAGCTCATCCTTATGCCAGGAGAAAGCTGCTTAGCAGAGGAAACTTTTGGGTTGGTGCAGTTGCACAATTTTTCTTTTGATTGCACATCTACCTGCTGAGTTCTGGGGGCTTTGAAGCACTTCGACTGTAAAGTGCCTTTCATGTAAGAAAAGCCCTATGTAAACATGGCGACCAGCCAAATACCTTGCCTGGTGAAACTAAATTTTGTAAAATTTAACTAATAAAATCAAGATTGGAGTCATAAATTGCTGCTTTACTGTCACTGCAATATATACCTTTTTAAATAATCTTGGTTGGGACAATGTGAAAGTTTGCAAGGACGTGAGGGTCTTCTTGAGCCTCAAAAAACTCAGGTTACCTTTCTGTGGCTTTCAAAAACTGAACTGGCAGAATGTCAGTACTGGCTCCAGCCTTGTTTCAGGAAAGCAGGCCAGGCTGTACAAGTGGAAGGGAGCTTGGCTCACATTTGTGTTTCTTCTCCCACAGTTGATGTGGATGCCATTGGGTAAAACCACTTGTATCTTGGAGGCTGAAGCCTGGCTCCCCAAAGCAATATACATAGCAAAGGCAAAACCAGCGCATTTCAGACTTGTCCCAGGAATGTACAATTGCGTGTACTACTTTTTATAATAGCGTCATTTTAATAAGAGTCAGATCTTTGGGAGCTGTCTGTATCTCCTCTTTCTTCTGACTCAATTACATTATTTCCTACTATCTAAACAAAAATCACAGCTTGAGCTGCTAGGACTGCATCGTGGGTCTCCTAGTTGGAGTTCAGTCATGCTAGATGCTTTACAAATGCAAAAGATGTATAAACACGTGCATTGCCCATTTGGATCAGATCTCATGTCTGTCCTTAACAGGAGCCAGCAGGAGACATTGCAGAAGAGTGCATAAAAAGTGTGCAGTAGACAGATATGTCATAGTCTGCCCTCCCATTCCGGGAAAAGATACATTTTATTCCCTGAAGCATGAGTTCTAATAATCCTTCAACAATATGTTGGTATAATCATCAACTATTATAATTGCGCTGGATCATCTTGTCATCTTTATAAATGCCTGCTCCATTTTTTAATCATGTTGGACCAAAAAAAAAAAATGTGTGGCGATGTTCAGTTCAGATCTATGCTGTATATGGTGTTTAGCCCCAGAAGTTTACAAATAAATAAGAGACAAGAAATCCATTTTAGAGAGAGGATTAGGCCAAAATTTCAGTTTTCTGAAAGTGCCAGGATCTAAGAGGATTTGCAAAACACTGGGATCAGTGGGAGGTTGGCACATATACATTGTTAAAACCAGTACTTTCTGCCCATTCCCATCTATAGGCTCCTGGTACATTTGTAAATCCTCATCGTAAAGGTGGGATTGATGTGACCTGTCTTCTGCCACCTAAATCTTACCTGTCTACATTAAACTAATCTTTGGGCTCCGTCTGCAGTCAGCAGGAAGAGATGCATACCACAGGGGAAGGTTCTTGCCAGAAGGTAGCTCAAGGTGGATAAGAGGAATCGCCTTTTGGTAGTACCTCTTGCTATCGTTGAAACTAGAACAGGGGGACATCCCCCATGATAGTGAGCTCCATTTCCCTAGTTCAAACATGAGCTAGTCCCAGACTTTGTGTCTAACAGATGTTTGCTTAGAAAATCTGGAAGAGAGATTCTGCAGCAACCCTGAACAGCCCAGTCCAGGGTTTACTGTCCCTGCTGTTAGACGGAGTTTTGTGGCTGTGCCTTCCTTACTCCTTTCCGTGCTACAGCTTTGCATTCCCAGTCCCTCCCATGGGGGGAGAGGCAGCTGTTTGCAGCTGCATTGCTGCAGCATCCTATAGGGAGCAGTTAGAGGTGGTCCTCCAGTTTAGGAGAAGAAAGCATTTCTGGATGGAGTCAAAGAGAGGAGCTATTCTGTAAAGGAGACTTGCAGAAGCCCTATATGCTGTTAATTAACCCAAGTCAATTAACACAGGTCTTCCCGCAGGTGACTAAACTTGTGATATAACCCTATCTGTTTCCATGTCTAGGTCTAGGCCGACATACAGAAGTGAACACAAGCAGTCTCTAACTTAGAGCTAAAGCCATTTTTCTGCCACCCCATGGTGTCTGAGCACATCGCTGGAGTTACCGACCATTTGGGATTTTTGCCATTTGCGTTCTTTATTCCCTGGCTAAGTCTCCCTGCTTCTCTCTTCTCCGCTCTCCCCTTTCCTTGCCGAGACAGCCAGAGCTGTGACAAGAAACCACGAGTTTCCAGCTCATGTTTGGCACATGAGCAACTGGGTGTGGACTACCACCTTTCCCCATCCCTGGCTAGAAGGAGGAGAGGTCAATGTTGATTGCATTGGGAGTGGAGGTTGCACTCTCAGAGATGAGTGGGCATGGGGATAACTGTGGGGCTGGAAGGACAAAGTCCAAGTGACCACCAGGAAACTTCTAATCTCTCCATTCCTAGGCCAGAATTTGGCAATGTGCATGTGACAACAAATCAGGCAAGCGGTGCGGTAGACCCAATTCTATCCTGGGTTGCCCCATAAAGCTGAAAATGAGAGGTTCTGTGTTACTGGTGCATTGCACATACAGTGCAGATTATGTATAGGGTTTCAAGCAGGGAAATATCAAAATAATAGCTGCTTGTTGCTGTGGATGTTCGATTTGTAGTAGGTATTTGACCCTTTATATGCTACACTGAGTTTCGTTTGCTGGAAACTTTAACATCCCTTCTGAATTTCTTAATATTCTTTGGTTTAAATCAGGCTTTTAATGGTAGTAGTTGAGTGTACTGCTGAATTTTTGTTTGTGTTTGTCTAGTGGGATAGGTTGTAGTTAAGTGAAATGTGTGGTGTAAGCAAAGAGAAATTGCTGTATGCAAACCATAATTTTCATGTACTTACTGTTTTGAGCGCTGTGATGAAAGGGATGTATCACAGCATTTTTATCGTATCAGCTGCTATCTTTGTCTCTCTACCTGAAGGATGGCAAAGGGCCCCCTTTCATCTGGAGGATTATGAGGCCATTACAGTAAACAGCACCACCAGGTTGGGTTGACATTGTTGGAGCTTTCATCTTTTGCTCTAAGTTTTAAAGCATTATTTGAGGTTCTCTTGTTCCCTGTCTCATGACTTGATGTTTAGCAAGAGCAGAAAGCAGCTCCTTGCCAGAGTTGTTCAGGAAAAATCATTAAACTCAGGAGGGAGGGAGAGAAGGAGAGAGAGAGGCTAGCTGAGTGGTATCCCCTGGTTGGTGACGACCTACAGGTCTGGAGCTCAGTTCTGGTTGCACAGCGGGCACCTGGATCCCTGCTTCTGCCACCTTTGCCCAAGCAAAATCTACTTAAGTATGAAACATGACATACTGCCCAGTTTCATACCTCTAATCCCAAAAGAGGGCTCCATGAGCTGATAGATGCATCAACTGATGAGAGGTCAGAGAACATGAGCAAAGAGACATTGGCACAGTGGGCAGTGCTGACTTGTTTTCTGTCTGTATTTTTAGCCATGCACCCAGTTTCTTCACCTTTAAGTTGGTTACATGAACCCAGGAATTTATGCTAGGAAGTATCTGCAGGGTCCCAAGCCAGGGCAAGCTGGAAGAGGGGAGCTTTGCTGGTAAACCTCTGCTCTCCTGCTCTCTTGAAGTGTTTGCCCAGCTGGGGGTTGCCTGTTCTCCCTGTGCTAGGACAGGTATAAATAAAGTGCTTCCCATTTGTGTGCTCCAGCTTCTGAATGCAGAGAAAGCTAATTCCTCCTGCGTGAACTCCAAATAAAGACAACTCTTATTTTATAGTTGACTCTTGTCTTTGCCTTTAGCGATTAGTGTATATTCCTTTAATATTGAAATAAGATTCATATATAAAACAGAACACACAAGAATATATCTCTGTAATAATGAGGATAGTGATATGATTTTTAGATGTAACTTTTTAATTTTCTTTCAATTTTATTGTCACATTTTCTAGTATTCTTTGCCCAGAATTTCAGTCCTCCACCTTTATGCTTGTGTTTATTTAGCATTGCTGCTTTTTCTGTACTAGCAATGTGTATTTATATATTAGCTCATCACTTATGTGGTTAAGGGTATGCTTTCAAGCAAAGCCTGAATCCAGCATGGATGGGTCCCCCAACACAAATGACAGGGGATGTCACAGCTCAGACTGTGATTTTAAATTGGATTGCTCTGCCCTGTCCCTTCATACTAAGCATTTCTGTTGCTGCCCTTATATATAGATATTTCATGGATTAGAAGAGGAAAGAAGAGAGAATGAAATTTTATCACTTGCCTTCTCCCTTCTGAGGGCAGCAGCATCTTCCCATTAGCCTGTGCCGCAACGTAGTTTGGCTGGTTTGATGGTCCTGCCCAACAAAGCCCCTGCAGCTGGTCACTCAGCCCATGCCACCCTGGCTGTTGTATGGGAATTATGAGGGACCCAGGTCTGCACCTCTCCTGTGTGTCTGCGAGGGGATGGAGCTGTGGCCATGCTGTCTGTTGGTGCGGTGAGCTGCAGGTTGCATGGCCCGTGCAGGGGACAAAAGCATCTGTGCTGGATTCTTCAGTTTCCCAGTGCGCAAGGAGATGTTGCCCCAAGGGAGATGACTCTTCCTGACTCAACAGAGCCAACTCAAACTCTACAAATTCATCTCAGTTGGCAGCCAAGTCCCAAGGAGTTCATCAGGGAGGCGGGTGAATTAAGAGGGCTGGTTTTCAATGGGTAGGATCTGACTTAACAAGAACAACACGCTTTCCATGCCAAATAAGAAGATTGTTACTAACTCCTTTCTTTCAGTGTTTAAAATCCAGTGTGCTGGCACTTGTCCCATACATTATACATTACTTCCCAAGCACAGCTGCAGGGTTGTCCATACATAAATCCTCATCTGCAGTTTGACAGCAAGGCAAAAGATGATGACTGAGCAAGGTGCAGAGAGGGTGAGAAATGTGGTGTTAGGGGGAGCATCAGGATGGGGAGCACCCTTCTCAGAGGGCGCGCAGTCACGCGAAGAGTGCTGTAGCTGAAGTGCCTTTGCTCATCTCAGTTGGCTTGAGTGTGCTTGTCAGGGCTGAGCAATACCACAGACATGGCCCCACTACACTTTTCTCTTCCTCTTGTGTTTTGCAGCATCCCCTTCAATTAAGCTTCTCGTGGATGACCCGATAGTGGTGAACCCTGGAGAAGCGATCACCTTAGTCTGTGTGACGACAGGAGGGGAGCCAGCCCCTAGCCTGACGTGGGTGAGGTCTGCAGGCATCCTGCCTGAGAAGACAGTCCTGAATGGCGGCACTTTAACAATACCTGCCATCACGCCAGAAGATGCTGGCACGTACAGTTGCATTGCTAATAACAACGTTGGAAATCCTGCGAAAAAGTCCACCAACATCATCGTAAGAGGTAAGCTGAGCTGGCAAACTAGTGGCCTTTACCTTGGAGGATAAATTGAATCCTAATCTGACAGGACAGCAATGTTCACATAGGAGTGGCCTATGTTTCCAAACGTATTTCTGGTCATTTCTGATAATGTATGAGATCAATTAGTGTTGGCTTCAGATAGGTGGTGGCTCTTGTGCTGGGCTCAAACTCCTTAGCTGGAACAAGGTGGCATGGTGCCCCTTTGTATTTTGAAGGTGCAGCAGGTCTCCCATCTGTACTGGAGACAATGATCACCAAAGGACACCATGTCTCCTGGGCATTGTCTGTGCTGACTCCTCCACAAAGTCTTTCAGCAGTGCCCTAGGGGCAGGGTTGCATGGAAGAGTTTCCCTCCTCTGAATTCATCCCAGGCTCCCAGAGGTGTCATTACCTAATTCACCCTTTTCTTCCTCCTCGTCAGGTGAACATGTTATGGAAATTAAGGCTGTTGTGCATGCTGCAAATCTGCCATCAGACAACTGCTCCCTGGGTAGGAGCTTTAGATTAGTACCTATGCTTTAATTATACTAAATAGCAGGATAAATGTCTGTCTTAGGTAAAAGTAAGAGAAGAGTGCTTGCAGAACAATTACTGCCAGGTGGAGAGAAACTCTCCCTGGTTGTTTATCGCTTTCGGGATGACCCCAGGGACATGGCCGGTTGGTTTGAAGAAGGAGTTCGATTGGCTGATAGGCATCATCAGAGTGGATTAATCTACCTGAACCAAACAGTTCATCTGAAACTAATTTTCTATAATCTAATCTGTGAGTCGTAGTGAAACATAGACTCCCACACTATAGGAACTTTAAATAATAGCATGTGATTAATCATACTCAGGAGAAACTGCTGTATAAAAAGCCGGTGGTGTGAATATTTTATGAGAGCCATAACCCCTGTTCACTTCTTATTGCCCAACAT